TGACTGCTCCACTTTCCGGAGGTTTGTCATGATCCCTTGAACCTTTGGAAGGTTGTTTGGGGATATAAGATGGTGTACTACTCATATTTACCTTTATATACTCACAAAATATCTCCAGCAAGATACGTACGTGTGATTAGCACGAGGCCATGATGATTGTTTGGCTTGTTTTATCAATATCATTAAAATCAGATCTTAGTTCTCTCTTTTGCTGAACAAAGATCTGAGGACATCCCATTACAGGTCAAGTCAGACCGACCTTCCGCGAACTTTGACCAACCAATGGAGTGACCAATCAGAATGCAGCTTTCTCGTGCCTTACGGCACAAATTTCATATTGGCGACTACGCTTCGAAACATATTTTGAAAAATTCTCGATTACAAGTTTGAAACCTGAACAAAAGATCATTCTGGAATGGCTAATAGATAGTCTAGGTTGTAAGGATTTAGTCGTTAAACTAGCAACTATCGTTCGGAGTTAAAGTTGTTGAGGTCTGTTTAGCGGTAGCGAGAACTGAGGTCTGATTTTAATGAGATTGTTGTTTTACGCCTCAATCAACAATAGTCCATCTATATGACGGGGGTCTGTAAATAATCGAGTCTGAAAAAGACAATCCAGTGATTTACATCATGAACATCGATCCACGCAATTGGGACAAGCATAGTCGCCTTTTACGGCAAGCATTGGTTGCTGAAGACCTATTCTACCCCGGATCTTCATGGGTCGAGGACATGATGAAGAAGGCTTATTGGTAATTAGCTTTCACGAGATTGTAACCTTTGAACTTGGCCTAGGCCTATTTTTAGCATGGAGCAGATAAAGACGGTACTATCACATCTACGGAGTTTTATGCGGTGAAATGTGAATTTTACTTTGTTTACGTTTCAACAAGTACAGTTTTCCGAGCATAGTGTTCGTTTCCACACTTAATTATTTCGTAATTTGTATTTCTCATTTGATTCTAAAATGTATGCAATCTCATTAAAATCAGATCTTGGTTGTCGCTACCGCTAAACAAAGATCTGAGGACATCCCATGAGGGGTCATGTCAGAACGACCTTTCATCCGACCAATCAGAGCGTTGCTTACCAGATCATAAAAGTGACAGTTGGAATGTGATTTCTAATCTCGAAAACTTTAACACGGGGTATTCCAAACAATAGTTATGGGTTTAACGACTGAATCAATACAATCTAAACCATATATTTGCCATTCCAGAATGTTCTATTGTTCAGGTTTCAAATTTTTAGTCGAGAATTTGTCAAAATATGTTTGAATGTTGAATTTGTAGTTGCCAATTTGAAATCAGTGCCGTAAAGCACGAGAAAGCTGACTTCTGATTGGCTAATGTCGGCTTCTTGTCAGTCCTTCCATTGGTCAGTCAAAATTCGCGCAAAGTCGGTCTGACAAGACCCAAAAGGGGATGTCCTCAAATCTTTGTTTAAGTGACAGCGAGAACTAAGATCTGATTTTATTGAGATTGAAATGTATGTTTAATTCAGGGATGACATGTATCGCGACCAAGTTTGAAATTTATGTGATCTAATACGGGACTCTCAATAATAATCGGCAGGTGCAACGTGATTTTGAAAACACTATTAGTGCAGCAGCATAGCAAGCTAATTGTGCCTTTTGTGATACAAGCACCAAATTTGGCACACAGTTACTTTAGTATGTTGCAAACATTTCTGGATATGCATATCAAGAAATGTTTGCGACATACTAAAGTAACTGTGTGCCAAATTTGGTGCTTGTATCACAAAATGCACAAAACTTTCAGATATGGAGGCTATGCCGCTGCACTTTTTCCAACATGGCCGAACGTACACTTTGGTGATGGTGTTTGCGTATTTTCCAAAACATTCTAAACAATTTTAGGCGACGTTTCAAAATTATCATTAGTTATTAAATGACAAACAGATACCCATGATCACTAATATGCTATTTTTAAAATTCATTGCATTGCGTAAATATCCGATATATAGATTTTTTTTAAACACAGAGTAAATAACGCCGTGAATTGGGATTTAGTAATGTGTCAAAATGGCGAGATTTACGATGTACTGAATTTATATAGGTCACTTTCAGTAATTTTTCTTTGCCTGAATTGACAGTGAATGATAACACAGAAGAGGGAATTTCCCACAGAATTCTAAACACTGAAGTGTATAAGTGTGCGTAGTTTATTTTGAATTTTATTTGACTTCGAAGCGAGGGTTGAAGAGCCGGAGGGACATATATGTCTATGTTGCATCATGGGGTTTACACACTAAAAATCCATAACGTTCAGCACAGACGTAGGGGAACATTCGAATGAAGCACGAGCAATTTATCAATGAATTACAATCAGGAAAGTAGACCGTCATAATCTGACCTCAGGTCATCACCATGGAGTAGCCAATCACGTGCCTGGAATTCGATCTCACACATGTTTGATGCCAGTTTTCTCAAATGGGTTTCTCACCCACAGGTGTGCAAGAAATGTTAATACCAAGTATTAGAACAAAGATCAGTGTTGATGACAAACATCTTCGTTCACGTCTGTAAAACATAACACCAAAACACATCGCATGCAGTAGCGCCACACACGTCTTTGGGTGTCATTCCTGATTTTGACAATTTCAAGGAAGGTCGATTAATCAATGTGGACCATTATTTTTGTCAATCTTATTACTTCTACTTGTCATAGAATTGTGATTTACTTGATTGCATTGAGTGTTTGTGTGTGCACTAGCGATGCGGCGTCAGCAACACCCAGATCGACAACCTGCTATTGGCATGATGGAAACTGGCAGAAGTCAGTGTGCAGAGGCCAGTTCGTTCAATGTTTGAGTCTGTGATAAGCAGACTATGGAACAGATACCAACAAACCCAGAATGTTAAGGATCGATCCTGTGCACGTCCCAGATCAACCACAAGAGTACAGGAAAATTGTGCAAACTTTCATCAGGCAACTGGAGTTACGGGTCAGACGATTAGAAATCCTCAACATGCAGCTCTTCTCCATGCTCGACTGCCACATGTTGTGCCGCCCCTTACAAATCATCATATTGCCAACAGACGTCAAGGGTGCGCAGAAGTTTGAAACTGGAGTCATCGTGGCTGGTCACGTGTCATGTTTTCAGATAAGTCCCAATTCACTTTGCACTTCCTTGAAGTGGTCGGAGTCTAGCAACGTCGAAATGAACGTGGAGCCAATGTCATCCAGAGACGTCATGACAGATTCGGTGTGCCGATCATATTGCTAAGGTTGCAATCATAGGCTGTATGACATTGCTTGGTGAAACCATTACTCGATATTCTGTTATAACACGACAGTTTAGGATTTCGTGACCTTTTTCTAACATTTTTTATTGCTGATTTTTAGGACCGATTTACCTTATTGTCACATATTATTTCTAAACATAAATGGTTACGAAAGCATCGCAAACCTACCTTTCGTAATTGCATGCCTACGTATTGTCTAAAATCTGTGTTTAAATAGGCCCATGTCAAATCATACAGCACAATAAATTATGAATAAACAAGTTAGAGAAGTTCCTCCTTAACTACCAAAAATTAATCCAATTGGGGCCAGGCGGTGCAATGGGAGTGAGACAGACACGCTCAAATCTCCATTAGCAGAATCAAACGCAGTATTCCTCGTCTCACCTTATTCGTCCTTCAAATTCGTTGGCGGTCATAGCATCTACACTCATACTCCACTACCAGTTATAATGTGTTTCCAATTCATTCATTATTATTATCTTATGGCTATTACTATAAACTAATATTGCTTACAACGAGAAATTTTTTCTCTCAAATGACCTGTTTCGTGCTTCAAAAAGATCATCTAAAATATTTCCGATTGTGCCCTACCATTGGGGCTTTTAGCGAGGATTTCTAAAGATTAAGGAAATAATGTTGTCGGTTTTATTTACGTGCTTAGACGAGTTGACAGGTATGTAGACGAGTTGACATGTGGTGATGATATGTGTTATATTTTCAGGTAGGTGCGATGGGGGTAATTGAGTGTGTTTAGCCTTGGCTCGTCATGCCCAGTAATTCGTAAACAGATGTCCATGATTAGTCGGAATCGTACAATTGAAAACGTTTAGAAGAGATTCCGTATTATTACTTGTACTTATTATTCTATGCATACAGATTCAGAGAGGCAAAACACCTTCCACAAGTCTGTATGACGAAGGGTTGGCTTCAACTTTCCCTTTATGTCGAGCAATATTCCAGCAGCTCCATTCTTTAGTGTTTGCATTTACCAACATTTGAGGTACAACCGAGCATTGTCTTTCTACCAAGATTTCAAAGCGCATTATACGACTCTTGTTCAGAAGTTTTTTGATGAAGGTTACAACATTCAAGGCCTCAGTAAAGCTTTCAAAAAGTGTATGGTAGACATGAAGAGGACATGTCCAAATTTGACGCATCAGTGACAAAAATTATGTTCGATTCAATTCTCTATTTTTATTTGTACTATATGTTCCCGTGTTTTTAGGTGAACAATTGACTTGCCTTTGCATGTGTTTGTGATGGGTGCCACGCAGGATATGCTCAGCGTTTAGCGAGCACATGGTATCATCACTATTGGATAGTGAATCTTTAACACATGCTCATCATATAGTCGGAATCGTACAGTCCATAAGACTCGTATGAGTATGGAAAGGGTTCTGTCGCTTTTTATAATCATCCCTACTGCCTACGCCCTAATAAGTGTCATATATATCATCTAGTTACCACAAAAAGGATAGACACAAACGTATGATAATGAAACATCGGAAGGGGGAGTTCAAGATAAGTTCATTGGTGTGGAATACCCGTCTTCCATTTACCACTCATCAGGCTTGTTATTATAATCTTTCATTCATGTAAAAAATCAATGAATATCCTTATCACACTTTTCATATATCAAGCTATATATATTATATATAATTATGCTTTATATAGAATTTGCTTTTTTCTGTTTTACCGTGAATAGTGTAATGTAACAGTTACTCTCTTACAGATATGGTAGCGGTTTAGTTGAAAAAGGTGCGAAGAAATCATCTATCCAAACTGAAGCTAACTTTGTGACTGGGCAAATGAGTATCTGCAGCATCCTCACTTTCCACTTCTTTGACCGGGAACTCAAGATGCACCATCTAATGTTCGACTGTGTGGATGTATACAAAATAGACAGTGTTAAAAAAATGCATTTTCAGAATGATGACATGGTGGAGATTAAGAGGACTAGATCCAAAGATTTTGAAATGAAAACAAAAACGAAGATCAACGTTTCCATTGAAGGAAATTTGAAATCTTTAGACAAAGAGATAAAGGCAAACTATCTGAAATTCAACTCAATAGCTCGGACGAATAAGGTAATGATACCAGTCGTTTCCAAAGATCCTGGAGCAATAAGCATTGTGAGGTACAGGTTGCCCAAAGACACACACCATGCATACTTCTCTCTGGATAAGTTGAAAACAGCTCCTCTACAAAAGCAAATTCCAAAGAAAGAGCTCAAGGTTTCAGGTATGTTCAAGTATACGGTTCATTTATCAAAGGACTGAGGTTCTATTATATCCTGGATGGTCGTCATTAAAAAATATAACTTTGATTTATCCACTTTAAACAATGTGTGTGTGTGTGTGTGTGTGTGTGTGTGTGTGTGTGTGCATGCGTGTGCGTATGTGTGTGCATGCGTTTGTGTGAGTTTGTTGTTGTTTCTGTGTGTTTGTTTTGTCTTAGTTTAAGAGGCGGAAATATTGATCGGATGGTCAGACGCAATGCTCATAGTATCAATCACTGTTTTGTTCTGGTCCAGACACGATTATGTACAGGCCATGGCCATATAGCTTGTGGAATATTGCAGTGTGCAGTGTTTAGTAATATACAATCACACACGTGCATGATTATGGTTTGATCATAAAATGTATACTATGCAAAACAGGAGGGAATCATCAAGACGTATCTTCTGATCTATATGGTATTGGCAAATGGAAATGATATGGCGGCGCACTAGGTCGTTAAAGAGGTCCTGAGTCAAATTCGAAATTTGCATTTTGCAGCCAACGACTAAATATCCGATATCGAGTATAACCACTAAGAATTAGACGAATATCCCAGCTTGACTCGTGTTGTTCAACTCATCAGTTAGAGCAACGCCGAGTTCATTGAGAATTCATTTTGACGTTGACGTTGACGTTGACGTACACGAATATGAGGCGATCAAAGTGGGCAACCTGTTTGCCGTGGGTTGCGTCCCTGTGTTGCGGAGGACGGGAGTCTGGTAGTTGAGGGCACTGGTTCCTGGAACTGTGTTCCTTTGCCCAACACACTACTTCAACCCTTACTTCGCCTAGACGGGTGGTAAGATGGGCCCGGTCTTATCAATCGGCTGGTCAGGCCAGGCTCTTTGCGTAATATTGTATATGAACATCTGTGTTGTCTTTTAATGTATATTTTGGCCTTGGCCGTCCATAACTTGTGTGTATTCTCAATTTTGGATTGAATAATTTGCCTAGAGTCTTACGCCAGGAGGCGGTGGCTCATGGGCCAATCTGGTACTTTCGACCTCTGAGTTCTGTATGTCTTCAATTTCTTGTCATGGGCCGAACCAGCCTGGCATTTTATTTGTTAGACAAATACAGCTATTCATGTTGTTTTTACTGGAGTATAACACCTCTGTATCCCTGATGTTTGCATGTTGGAGATCCGGTGCAGGAAAACATCGCTCTTTGTAGCACTCCATGGTGGATGGGGAGCAGGGGTGCTGAATAAATTACTTTCATCATGGCTCATAATCATTCTGGTTCAAACCGCACTGACAAGAAGAGACGTCTGGAAGCTGAGATTTTCTCATCTCACGATGATGCTTCTATTTCACAAACTTCAAATTCTTGGGCTCGGTTTATCTTGTGGAATCACGAAATCAACTACCTTTGAAAATCAATCCCTTTGCCTATCTAAAGCCATTGAAGGTATCTGTGGTGAGGTGAAGAATGTTTCACGGCTCCGGAGCGGCTCTCTTTTGGTGGACTGTGCACGGAGACAGCAGGCTATTAATCTTTTAAATTGTACTAGCTTTGCAAACACAGAAGTTGTTGTTTCCGAACAAAGAACGTTGAATTCGAGTCGGGGGATCATCCGCGACAGAGCTCGTTGCCTGGCAGAAATGTCAGAAGATGACATTTTGGAAGAACTTAAAACACAGAATGTCACATCAGTGAAACGTTTCAATAGAAAAGATGGTGAAAATTTCGTTCCAACCAATACTTATTTGTTCTTCTTTTCTCTTCCAACAATTCCTCAATCTATTAAGGCAGGCTATTTTAACATCGGAGTGGAGGTGTATATCCCCAATCCGCTCCGGTGTTACAAATGTCAGAAGTTTGGGCACGGCTGCAAATCATGTGATCGTCCGACTGTTTGCCACTGTTGTGGTGGAAATCATGATGGTTCAGGCTGTACAGCAGACCTGAATTGTACAAATTGTAAGGGTCAACATGTAGCATCATCTAAATCCTGCCCTTTTCGGACACGTGAAAAAGACATTTTGACAATTAAATGTCAAAACAACATCAGTTACTTTGATGCCAAAAAACTCTATGATAGCCGGACACCTTCATCCAAACAATCTTATGCTGCTGCTGTTGTCTCTCGCCCTTCAACCAGTAGACCTATAGAATGTAAGACGGACTTGACGTAGACACATTCTGAACACCCGCTGCCTATGACTACATCATGTGACAGTCAAACAACTCATTCTGTCAGCCCTGGTGAAATGTCTCCAGATTCTATGATTGTGACTCAGGTTGTGGCCCCATCTTCACCCACTCCTGATATACCAGCTACCAACAAACCATCAACTGAAATGGCAAAAAAACAAAAGAAAAAACAAAACAGAAAAATCACAACTAAGATCCCCACTCTCACTGACACATCTACAGATAATTTCTTTGAGCCTCTTGAGATGGATGTCACCCCATCTTCACACCACAACAGTTGTCACTCCTCTTCACGTTTACGTGAACAATCTCCGGTAGAACCACCATGAATCATTCAAATCTAATTCAATGGAATTGCCGAGGACTTAGGCACAATTTTAACGAACTGCAATTATTATCAACGGATATTTGTCCATCAGCAATTTCTTTACAAGAAACGTACCTTAAAACAACCGACAAATTTGATTTAAGGCAGTATAGTTCGTATCATTCCTTCTCTCCTCCGGGAGATAAAGCTACTGGAGGAGCTTCTATTTTGGTGCGGCGGGGCGTTGTTCACAGTCCTGTTCCGCTTGACACGAATATGCAAGCTGTTGCAGTTAGACTAACACTGCATATTGCCTTCACACTTTGCTCCTTATACATTCCTCCATCCTCAAATCTTCAGTATAATGATCTCCAAAAACTGTACGACCAGCTCCCAAAGCCCTGTCTCATCATGGGTGATCTAAATGGGCATAATCCTTTATGGGGAGGTTCTATCATTAATCAAAAGGGTAAAGTCATCGAGGATTTTGTTTCTGATAATGACCTCCGCATCTTTAACGATGACTCGGACACCTACTCACACCCTGCAACTGGTACGTATTCATCATTAGATCTGTCTTTGACGGATTCAGTTTTGTTGAATGAATTCTCATGGTCCGTCCATGATGACCAATGTGGGAGTGACCATTTCCCCACGGTGCTTAAACCCATTCATCCCACTGATGATCCACCTTCACCTCGATGGAATTTTGTGAAGGCTGATTGGCTTTTATTTCAATCTTTATGCAAAGATAAATTACAACCTACATCTTTTCAGAATGTTACTGACCCGATTCAGTTGTTCTCAGATCTACTGAATGAAATTGCTGATGAATCAATACCTAAGTGGTTTGATCAATAACCGTGGTTTGATGACACTTGCAAACACGCTAGGAAATGTCGTAAGAAGGCGGAGAAATACTTCCGTAAACATCCTACTGTCCATAACTTGAACATCGTCAAAATTTCAAATTCTAAGGCGAGACGTCCATTCAAACAAAATAAACGTCAATCCTGGCAGAATTATGTCTCAAAAATTAACTCTCGTACCCCTATGTCCAAGGTATGGAACATGATCAAAAAGATCAAAGGCAAGGGATCAAATTCTACAGTAAACCATCTAAAGGATGGCGATACTTTGCTAACGACTAAATCTGATATTGCCAATAGACTTGGGAAAACGTTATCTCAACATTCTTCTTCATCTAATTACGCTCCTGAATTTCAAAAATATCAGCTCCAACAGGAAAAGAAAAAAGTAAATTTTACATCTGATAATGGTGAAGATTACAATGAGGTATTTTCACTACATGAGCTATATACTGCCTTAGGGCAAGCTCATGATACAGCAGCAGGCGCTGATAATATTCATTATCAGCTACTGAAACACTTCCCCGAATTATGCCTTGAAACTTTGTTGACTATATTCGATGACATTTGGACATCAGGGACGTTTCCACCTTCATGGCATAATGCCATTGTTATACCAATACCCAAACCTGGGCGGGATCATTCTGATCCATCAAATTACCGACCTATCTCTTTAACTAGCTGTGTTTGTAAAACGATGGAACGCATCGTAAATAATCGATTAGTGTGGTACTTCGAAACAAATAATCTTCTTACCAATATACAATGTGGTTTCCGGAAAAACAGAAGTACTATCGATCATTTAGTGCGTTTAGAATCGTTCATTAAAAATTCCATTGTAAATAGACAACATGCTGTATCAATCTTTTTCGATTTAGAAAAAGCTTACGATACAACATGGAAACATGGTATTTTAAAAGATCTTCATGATTTTGGATTAAGAGGCCGTCTGCCTCATTTTATATCCCAGTTTTTAACAGACAGGCAATTTCAAGTCCGAGTGGGTACAACCCTGTCTGATCATTATAATCAGGATCAGGGTGTCCCACAAGGCAGTATTTTGTCTGTCACTTTATTCAGTATATAAATTAACAGTGGATGTGGATGATTTTAATCTATCTTGTCGTGGTAAAAATATGCGCACAATAGAAAGGCAATTACAATTATGTCTTAATAAAATTCACAAGTGGTGTTTAGAAAACGGGTTTAAATTTTCCAAATCAAAAACTAATTGTATACATTTCTGCAGAAAATATAAGCCACATAAGGACCCTGAACTATTTCTGAATGGCACTCCTATCAAAGTTGTTAAGGAGGCCAAGTTCTTGGGACTTATTTTTGATAACCACTTAACTTTCCTTCCACATATAAAATACCTAAAAGCTAAATGCCTGAAGGCACTCGATCTCTTGAAAGTTGTTTCCAATTCAAAGTGGGGAGGGGATCAAACAACCCTCTTACACTTATACAGGTCACTGATCCGTTCAAAACTTGATTATGGCTCCATCATCTATGGTGGAGCCTGCAAAAGTAACTTACAAAAACTAGATACGATACATCATCAGGGTCTGAGGCTTTGCCTTGGAGCCTTCAGAACGTCTCCCATTCACAGTCTCTATATAGAAGCAGATGAGCCTTCTCTTAAACAACGCTGACTAAAATTATCTCTACAATACATCACTAAATTATATTCTAATCCGTCAAATCCAGCTTTTGAATGTATATTCCATCCTCTCTACGAAGATCTTTACAATAAGAAATCAGCAATCAATCCACCACTCGGAATTAGAATAAAATCTGCAATATCAGCTTCAAATATTAAACTCCAAGATATAGCTCCTACTCAACTTTTCTCATCTCCTCCTTGGCAAATGGTAAAGTCAGAGGTAGACCTGACATTAACCAAACTTAAGAAATCCGATACTAACCAATTAATATACCAACAAGAATACCATCAACTAAGAAACAATTATGACACTTATAAATCTATATTTACAGATGGATCCAAGGATGGTGGCGCAGTTGCTAGTGCCACTGTCATTGGATCCAGAAAAATCTCTTCACGTTTACCTGATAACAGTTCAATATTCACTGCAGAAGCAAACGCCATTTTTACAGCACTTAAATATATCGGTAATCAATCTAAACATAACCAATTCATACTGTTTTCAGATTCTCTTTCATGCCTTCAGGCAATTAAAAATATGTCTTCAAAACATCCACTTTTAATCCAAATTCTTGAGTTATTTAATGATCTTGCTACTGGCCAAAATGACATCGTCTTTTGTTGGTTACCAAGCCATGTTGGTATCAAAGGTAACACATGGCCGATGCTGCTGCTAAAGCAGCGCTCAACAAATCTGTGACACCACTTCTGATCCCATACACTGATTTTAAACCCATGATTCGATCCCACATCCGAGATCTTATGCAACAGAAGTGGGACGCCCAAGTAGGTATCAATAAATTACATGAAATTAAACCAAATATCGGATTTGAAGAGGTCATTATGCGACGATGTCGTATTGGCCACAGCAGATATACTCATGAATATTTACTAAAAGGTGGGGATCCTCCGTTTTGTATCCCTAGTGATGAAAGAATCACAGTCAAGCATGTCCTGCTTGACTGTGTTGATTTTTCCATCACAAGGGATAAATATTTCAATGTAAAAACAATTAAGGACCTTTTTAATGATGTTAATTCTCGTTTAATATTATGTTTTTTAAAAGAAATAGAACTTGTCCATAAATTTTGATGTGCTTAATGTATTATTTTATAAATTGGTAGTGCTAATTAATAACTTAGATTGTGAGTGGCTGTACCCTCGAGGCGGGTTGAAGTAGCGTAAAATTATTGTCCCCCTAAGAGGGTATGTAAGTCCCCAACCATTCGTAGTATTTTTATGCATACCAGACTTTTAAATCGTAGTATATTTGTTAGTTTTATCCAATGGCTAAACTTGCATATAATCGCCAGCGACTGAAGGGATGGTGTAAATCCTGCCGGGGTCCATGCAGGAAGCAAAGGCACTGTAAGTCCCCATGGTCCCTGGTGTGGTGATCTCCCTTTAGTTACTGACGATCTCTAGCCCATTTTTATATTGTGTTGTTCCTTTATACTTAATGCTTTTAAATGTTCTGCAACTAGTTTTAAATCTTATCTGTGATATTCTAGTTCTCATACTGTCCTTTGATGACAGATTTTTATAAAGTTTAAATATATGTATATTTCATGTCTAATTTCTCGTCACGATATGGCTGAAATATTGCCGATGTGACGTAAAGTATTACCTCAATCACTCACTCACTTATCTGAGTGGCAGTTTGCAACCGATTTCTAAAAGCCATCGTTCTGACTTATCTGTCCTGGGCTGGAGTTGTTGCCCTTGGGCGTTCAGAGTGGCGTCGATCATCGGCGTTATGTGTTTGTGCCCACAATCCGCTGATGACAAATTGAGAACATGCAGCGTTTGGGCAACAATATTCAAACGTGTGCCCCAACTACTACATGTCGATTTTAAGTAAATGTTCAGCACTTGGCAAACGTCGCATGATCAATGCTGTTGCTTCCTTTATGATCAAATGAGTTTTATTAAGTGTCTCAGAGCGTTTGGTTCCAAGAAAACAAGCGTCTGCTCACAACAGAGTCTTGCAGTGTTTTGAAGTTTGATTTCTTCAATGATATTGCCATTGTCAGATATTGGTGTATTGTCCTATAGCTTCACCTCAAAGCAAATTATCCCCTACTTTTTTGCAGTTGTCCCAGTTAATGAATTAAAAGTCGTATAAAGTTTTAGATAATTTAGTTTGTGTAATACCTATAAAACCAATTACCTATTATTCTTTAACATATTCTGTTTACAGGAATCCCTGTTTTGACAGAGAAGAGCCTGTCAGCTTTGTCTGAATCCCTGCCTTGGTCAACATGGATGAAAGTTGGTATAGAACTGGGGTTGTCGAATGACAGTGTACGCGACATATCCGAGAAGGCGGAACACACCAACTCTGACCCTCGATTTCAGCTTCTCTGTAAGTGGAAAAACAGCAGTCAAAAGAGTCACGATGAACTGTTAACCCAATTGTTATATGCTCTGCAGGAAATCAAACGCAATGATATCGCTGAAGTGCTTCAATTGGCCATGGTAGAGCATAGAGAGCTCAGGAGAATCGACTTTGAGAAATAAGGACAATGACCCAAGATGTCATTGCCCAACACCACAAGATAGTGGTTCCTCCACGAACACTAACATTAAGAATGTTGTGGCAGAATATAATATTGTATTGGTACTAGCTGTATAGCATATGCACTGTACAATTAGGAAGGGACCTGTGAACTTCACTGGACAGAATGTGTACATAGCTAAAGCTGAATGCTATTATAATATATTTAGTGATTGAATACTGTTCCTGAACATTGTCTGAAAAAATACAATTGATATCTCCCTCGTATAAATAACACCAGAACAACTTTCGGTCCGCATTAATGACATTATGATTCAGAACAATTATCATAAATGAAAGTATGCTTCAAATGACATTTCCTTTCATTTTGTACAAAGTGCCATGAACCATTTTGTGATGAATGGCTCGTAGATCAAGGAAAGAAGTTTTTCTCATGTTATTTGTGTGGGATAGTGGTGTAAGAAGTTAAACATCAAATGTTTCGACAGAATTGATCTTTGTTCTTATCTGAGATTGCAAAGCTTCCAGCAGATCCTTGGAGCTTTTGAGAATACACATGGTATCAATTCCACTTGTCTGAGATACTTTTTGTGAATATAAAAAAACACTTTCCTGAGTTGTAATATCTCTGTTTGAACGGATTTGTATGTAGCCTTCTTGATGTTATCAGTGTTTTGTTTTTCAAACATATGTATTTCATTTATTGTATTCAGATTTACGTGTTGTATGTACTAGTATTCAGATGTAAGTTCAGATGTTGTAAATGCACATGATGTAAATTTACTTTGTTCTTTTCTGAGATTGCACAATCTCATTAAAATCAGACCTTAGTTCCCGCTACCGCTAAACAAAGATCTGAAGACATCCCATTTGGGGTCACGTCAGAACGACCTTTCATCCGACCAATCAGGGCGTCACTTACCAGATTATGAAAGTGACAGTCGGAGTGTGATTTCTATTCATGCAAACACGAACACTTTAACACAGGGTATTCCGAACGATAGTTACGGGTTAAACGACCGAATCCATACAATCAAGGCTAGCTATTAGCCATTCCAGAATGTTCTTTTGTTCAGGCTTCAAATTTGTAATGGAGAATTTGTCAAAATATGTTTCGAAGCGTAGTCGCCAACTTAAAATTAGTGCCGTAAAGCTGGAGAAAGCTGCCTTCTGACTGGTCATTCCATTGGTCGGTCAAAGTTCGCGCAAGGTCGGTCTGACGTGACCTGTAATGGGATGTCCTCAGATCTTTGTCTAGCGGTAGTGAGAACTAAGATTTGATTTTAATGAGATTGGAGATTGCAAAGCTTCCAGCAGATCCTTGGAGATTTTGAGAATACACATGGTATTAATTCCACTTGTCTGAGATACTTTTTGTGAATATAAAGAAACACTTTCCTGAGTTGTAATATCTGTTTGAACGGATTTGTATGTAGCCTTCTTGATGTAATCAGTGTTTTGTTTTTCAAACGTATGTATTTCATTTATTGTATTCAGATTTACGTGTTGTATGTACTAGTATTCAGATGTAAGTTCAGATGTTATAAATGTATATGATGTAAATTTACTTTGTTTGGATAAAGTAGATTAGAATAATTGATTGTGTAGAAATATTTCACAAGGATCGTCAAACCATCGTCAAACAGTATGACCTTTGTTGACCTTTTTTTAATCTACTTTTATGTCAGTCTACAATATGTACATCTCGTGAATCGATTTGTTTACATTCCTAGAAATGTCATAATATTTGATTTTGAGAATCGACGGTTTTCATTCCACATGTATTGTTGTAATTTGTAGATGGTTATAAAGTGTAATAATTTGTCCCTTAAGTTCGCATAAAGAAACGTTTCACATCATTTAGAACCTACCCAGCACGTCAGCGATTTATTTGACAATAAAATATGCTTTTAAGTAAAATTGTGGTTTTCTAAGAAGTGCTAAATTAGTAAAGTAAGAGGTTTAATTTCTGAATCTAACAGGGCTACATTTTCCAAGAGAAAAGAACGTGACATAATGAAGAAACTTATCGTCTTCAACCATTTATACATTCATCTATTATTTCTTCATTTACCAAATTGTTTCCATGGTCGTTTCTCAGGACTGATGTTGTAGTTAATAGAAAAAAATGATTTCTTAGCAAACACATGCATGTGTAAATATCTAACTTGATGAACTATTGCCATGAGCTTTTGATCGGTACGTTGTCGGTACGTTTATACAGCGTCTCCACTAAATGTATACTTTACATGGATAGTTGTTTCCCGTGATGAAGACGTGAAAGATATTAGCCTAGGTATTGTGTTTGTGTTTCTGTATGTTTGTGTTTGTGACAAGTGCCACCGGTGGGGCAGGATACGCACGCCTTTTCGCGAACACCTTGTACTATCGCTTTTTGATAGTTATTCATAAGCACATGCTCATGATGTAATCGGAATCGAACAATAGATTCTGCTTTTGACAGGTATGTTTTATGATCAAGGAAATTGTCGCTCTTATTTAGATGCACTGTATATGAAATGGTGTTTCAAATACGATGATACGCATTGCACGTAGAAAGAATTCTTCTTTTTAGCGTGAATCATAAATCCTTTATTAACTGTACAAACCTAAGCGTACAAACCTACTTTTAGTAGAGATTTCTTATGATAATGGAAAGGGTTTCCTCACTTTTATTTGAAGCCTGAATATTATAGTTCTCAAATACAAATCAAATCTGAGAGTATGTAAAACGTACGTTGTTATATACACTGTTTGATACTTCAAAATAATAAATAAAATAAAATATAGTGAAATTGCGAATTGTTTGCAGTTGATAAGTATGTATTTTGTCATCTTCCCAAGGCAAGAGAGTTAACTGACGATAAAAGTCCAGTTTCCACCCTTGCCGAACTAGGCTGGTATTATGGAGTTACATTTTGGCTGGACTAACGAGTCTATGCATAGTCTAATCAAAAGCGCGCACCGAAATCGAAACCGGTTCGTAAACTGTCGTGCAGATTTCGGTCGATTGCAGGATTTGCAAAGCATGTGCACCGCCAACTCGTTGTCGGCAGATATTTTCCAAATCTTTTCATGTTTAAAATCAAGGTGCTCACGTGATTTGATGCATTTCCCGATGTAAGATCCGTTTTATCATGGAGAGGCTTAGAAGGGGCATAACTGGTAATAGCCACTGGTGGCGCTACGATCGAGGCCAGTAATTCCAGCCTAGTTGGGCAAGGGTGGAAACTGGACTTTTAAAGTCAGTTAACTCTCTTGCCTCGGTAAGATAGTATTTTGTTTGGTTTGTATATCAAAACTTTCTTGATGTGGCGAGTGTTATGCTATAATCAACCTGTTTCATTTGTTGTATTCAGATTTGTAAAATTTTAATAGTTTATTGTGACGTTTCGTTTGCAGTCTCCTTAACTCTTCATGTTAACAGATTTAGTGAGATACAATGTATGATAATCATTGTTTGTGCAGAAATCTTCTCTGAATTTGACCACCCACACCCCACTGGTCAAGATCATGTTTAATGCTTAAATGTTCGTTTAAGGCAAACTCAAGAGCCGTCTTCTCTCTGTATCATTCATTAAGATTGAGCCCGATCCCCCATTGTAACATTTCTTCATGCTCCCAATGCATGAAACTGTTTAACATGACCTCCGCCTTCCTGTATTAGAGGGGGCACGGGTGGCCCAGTCGTCTAAGGCGCCGCAATTCGCTGTGCAGAGTTGCATCCCTTGGGCACGCCAGAAACCTATGATTGTCGGTTCGAATTCCGGTTCGCCGATTATGTTTCTAGGTTTGTCAGCACCATACCCGTGCTCGTTGGTTTCACCGAAGTGGTAAACGTCTAAGACCTGCATTGCATCACTTCGGGCTTTCCTCCAACATTAAGCTGACACGCCGTGATATAACTGGAATAATGTTAAAAGTGGCGTTAACCCAACTCACTCTCTCACTCACTCCTGTATTAGATGAACCGTACCTATATTCAAAATTAAAAATCACTTATTTGAAAAAATAGTACTGTGACACTTGTTCCTGTTTTAAAGCTGTACTTCGAGCTGGAGTGTTCCAAAACAGAAGCGCAAAAAAACTTATTGCTGGAGGCATTGGACTCTCTGTTAAAAATCTCTCATGTACGTTCCAATTACAGTAGTTCAGATCAGGGCCCTTGCACCCCCTACAAGCAACCGAGACGTGAATGGGACTTCTCCCTGGAAGCGCTGCCCAGTCGAATCCACCGAGAACTTTTCGGAGAATGTGAAGACTCCCCAACACTGCAGCCTTCTGCATTACCCAGATTGCCAGAAGAGCTGTATTTCTGGCAGCAAACCCGGGTACTCTCCCAAAGTCAGTCAACAGATGTGAGGTACCAAACCTAAGGCACCGAGCACAATGGGGAGTTGGACAACTTGGGAGGGAAGTGTGGCACTTCGTAAGCGAGGTCCGCATATTCACCATATTCTTCCTGATCCGTGTGAATCACGTTAGTGTCAAAAGGTACAGAAAATTCAATGATATTTATGATTTCATTGGATTTATCAAGAAGGACAAGATCAGGTTTTTGCCCTGAATAGGTCTGAGGCTGTGTACGGGCCTATTCCAAAGCATTATTTATTAATAATTTTCCATGACACCCTCCAGATATTCTGGGTCGTACCATGGATGGACCTCTGTGTCAAAGCCAAAAGCATGGCGAAGACGTTAATAAAAGATCGAGCCACTCCATCGTGTCGGTTAAGATCCTGTGTTTGTGCCAAAGATGGACATCCACTGGCAGTCTCATTAAATTTATTGCATAATCTACATTTCATATTTACATTTTTATGCAAAATCACACATTGACGGTTTCGAGTGGCAAGTGACTGGTCCTGAGTAGCAAACAGAAAACCTTCTGTTTCACTTTTCATGCCAGCCGACTTCATCCAAGCGAAGGACTCTACGGGGTTGCATGTTTTCTCAACACACTGCACATAAACTCGATGCAGTGGTCGTTCAAAAAAGCCTCTCCCTGATAAAATGAGTCTGGGCCGTTCTTTACGGCAATTCGCTTGGTTGACACTCATTTCTGTACCGTCAAGCAGTACAGAACCATCAACAAAATCAACATCAGGAGATATAGAGTGCACTGGTGTTTGATTTAACTCAGTCAAAGGATTGTAAACTTTCAATTTAAGGTGTTTGACTTTCTGTTTTATTCTGCTATGCTAAATAACGCCATCTGTGTATCCGGTTATTAGACTCATACTCTATATGAACATATTTTTATTAATTATCAGTAAATCACCAAGTTAATAATTATGATCACTTCAGTCTTTGAGTTTGAATTTAAAACTGAATAAATTTCTCTTCGTCAAAATTAACCAGTGTTTAGAACGTCGTACTTTGAAACTTACTTTCGATACCATACACACAAGGTACGCGCTCATCCCCAACGTGTTATTATTTTTCAATTGACTTGCAGTTTTTGTGTATTTTATGAATTAACGCAAATATTATGTATGCGACTATCTTTGTAAGAAAATTTATTTTATTTGGAAATAAAAGAACCACCATATCCATAGATTATTCAACCATCTTCTTTGTTGGCTATTGATTTGTCTATTTCATATTATTTCGTTCCAGACACAACCTTTCTTATCAGCGTTTTGTGCATGTTTTGGGTATTATTTTTATTTTATTTTCCTGGATACTAGTTAAATACCCATGAAATATTATCAAACATAGACGTCAGACCAGGTGATGTTCCCAGTCAATTTCATCAGACAGGATAATATTACCTATCAGAGACGTTAGCAAAGGTAATATTTTCCAATCAAAGACGTCACACCAGGTAATAATACAAAATATCAAAGACATCGAGCCAGATTATATCACCAATCAGA